ATAAAAATGGCTTATAACTACACAGAAAAATCACTGAAAACAGAAATTTGACTACAAATGGCAAAATCAACGACATCTAAGAACAACAACAAAAGTTAATTTTGTCATAGGTTTCTACTTTATCTACCTAATTTCCCGCAAACAGTTGGGTCGCCCCCTGCTGGCCATTAGAGACTAAACGTTGCCTAAAACACATGAATAAAGGCATGGCATTAGTTTTGTCTAAATCTCTTTGTCACAGCCTCTAACAGTCACACTTCTCCGTCTCATGCTTCAGGAACAAAGCACCACGAGTCTGAGCCAGTATACCCAGCCCCCAACGTGGACTGGGAGGCAGTTTTCCCCGATGGAACCCCGATCAAGAAGGACAAGAAGCCTGCTTACGTGTTCGTCTGGAAGACCTGGGGTGAGTGGAGCTGAAAACCCTGATAAAATACCTCAATTATGTTTTCTTTGAAGGTCAAAAGGTTTATTGAGGCCTTGTGCCAGGGCATGAAATGTGACCCTGGATTAAAAATGAGCTTTATCATATGATCAGATTAAGGTACTTACTTTTCCCCACATGTGCAAAGAATTTAAGGCATTACATTTTGAAACCTTTTATATCTTGCCCTATGAGGCTTCAGCTTTATTACATTAGCAAAGTGTCAGATCAAGAAGCCAATGATTGTAGACATTGGATGTGTATGGTGAGGGGTGGGGGGCATCTTGAAAATATATGAATTTGCCTAAGGGGAGACCTGCGGAGAAAGTTTGGGAACCACTGATTTAACATTAATACATATGAACTCATTAATATATATCTGAAGCAAACAGGAAGTAAAGTGTATTTCATATGTTCTCACATGGTCGCGTATTGTTTGCAGGTCAGTACTGGCAGGTAGCAGACGGCCCATCCTCCTCCCTGACCATCAGCACAGACGACATCCCGCTGGGCTCCTACGTCGTGGACATCGTTATCTACCACTTCAGGAGCAAGGAGAAGTTCATTCCTCTGGGATATGCGTCCACCCAGTTTTCCATCACTGGTACGTTGAGGCCTGTAAGCACCTGATAGTAAAATCCAGACAAAACCCCTAATAAGTGTTGTGCCCTTCCAGATCAAATCCCCTTCGCTGTCTCCCTGGACCAAGTGAACGACATCGTCGCCGGAGACATGCGATTCGTCCAGAACAGAGCCATCGCCTTCACCATCAGCCTCCACGATCCCAGTGGTTACCTTAGCAACGCAGACATCACCTTCAACTGGGACTTTGGAGATGAGAGCGGAGCCCTCATATCCAGAGAGTTGACCGTCACCCACACCTACGTCAGCACCGGACACTTCAAGCCCCAGGTGGTGATCCAGGCGATGATCCCAGACAGGGCCTGCGACCCCATCGAGAGCCCGACCAAGGCCCCGGCTCCACCTGCTGATCAGGGCACCACAGGTGAGACACAAACGCTGAAGATGGTCAGAACATAGAAGAGCATTTACAAGGTTTTCCAATCTATATCTGTAAATTTCATCAAAGCAAAATACCTAACTCAGAATCTTTCCTGCGCACAGTGAAAGCGCCGGCGCTGATGTCTGCTGTCCCCTTGATGGTAACCACCAAATCAGCTGGTCTGAATGTCAACATGGTTCCTTCGGACACAGAGGAGGACAACACTGAGGACGAGGCCTCCACCGCCTCAAACGCTCAGCCCGCTCCGGAAGCACCTCCAGTTGCCAAGACTCCCTCGCCCGTCAGCCAAGTCCTGCCAGCTGACAGCGAGGCACAGACCGGACTTGTAGCAGGTAATGTTTTCATTATTATTCTACCTCCAAAAGGGTCACTTGTTCAACCTTGGCAAGATGTAAAACAGCAGCAATATGTCCTGATAACATTCAAGATACTGAGTTGATACAAGCTGATTGACTTCCTGATGACCCAGATACAAGGACGTGCTGATTTCCTAACATGTAAATGTGATGTAAATCTTTGTCATTGTTCAGAGCAAGCAGAGCAGGTTGCCTAGATTGAATCACTTTGTTGAGAGTCTTCATTTGAATCCAGTTTTGCATGTTGATATGGTGCAGGCAGGTCTCCTTTTTTATTCATTACTGGATCAGGAAAACAATCAAATCCAACCGGGTCACATGCTGGAGAAAACGTGTAGCTGGAATATGATTTCATTTCTGTTACCTTAACATGGAAATCAACATCTTTTCCACAGTAGAACAGAACAATAATAATAATAATAGTGTATGGCCCTATTTCCAAGAGATGTTAGCTTGTTTGCTAGCTGATGTATCATTTAAAAAAAATACTAACTTAGCAAAGAAACTATCTTGCCATATTTCTAGCTAATGTGAGCGACTACTCTCATTTGTTCTGACAAGCTGAGGAGGATAGCGCTTCGTATCTAACATATTCAAATGGTGGCAAAAGAAACCAACCAGAGTGTAGGCCTACTTGCTATCACAACATCAGCTTGGGGCTTTTATAGAAATGTCATTTTTTTAAAAATATATTAAAACCCCCTTCTGTTGTTTATTGTCACCAGGTGTAAAACGACCTCTGATCCTGACAGGCCATGCCCAGGTGGTCTTAGTTGCTAAGAGAGATGTTGCAGACAAACCCTCCGACGATGACTGTGTGATTTATCGCTACGGCTCCTTCTGCACCGGCATTGAAGTTTGTGGTGAGTTAACTTTTAATGGAGTTCATCAAGATGAATGAAATACAAATTGGTAACAATAACAATCGTTCCCTTTTTGACTTGTGTTTTCAGAGGGTATCGAGAAGGTAGAGATTGTCCAAATGAGCAATGCCTTGATGGTAGCACCTCACCTGGACAAGAATGTTCTGGATATCACCGTCACCTGCCAGGGAAGGTGAATCCTCCAGCACTTGATCCCAGATTTATAATTTCCTTTTTTGTTATTTTGTGTATTTTAACCCACTGGCGCTTCTTCTTTTTTTCCCAGCCTTCCAAAAGAGGTGTGCAGTGTGATCCTGGATGCACAGTGCTTGAAACCCATTCACACCGTGTGCAACATGGTGGAGCCCTCCGGAGACTGCCAGCTGGTTCTGCGTCACTTCTTCAACGACTCTGGTGTCTACTGCATCAACGTGTCCATGGCTAATGATGTCAGTTTGGCCGCCACCAGTGCCAAAGTCAACGTTGACATGGGTATGCAACAAAAACCGCCAAACATACAGGAATCATGTGTTGTCTGTTTAGGTTTGACAGTATGGTGCATTTTTTCTGTTGTCCCAGTTTCAGATCTGTCTTCTTCCGGCACCATCGCCATGGTCCTGGGCGTCATGTTTCTCGTTCTCGCTGTGGGAGTGGTGGCATATTCTTACAAGTAAGAACTAACCATCAGTTTTCTACTTTAAATGCACAATCTGAATGATTACGCTGAGGATAAGAGTGTCGATGTCCTGTAACCCAAACCAACAAAAACAAGGCTGTTCCTGATATTTTTGCCCATTCCATTAACATACATGAGCGGAGCAAAATATTAGCAACACCTTTCAATTGATGCACTCTAGTTCCCCAACGACAGTCACTACAACTTCGACAATAAATGTAAGATAGACTTATCACCTTTCTGACCATTCAACAAAAACTGAAGATGTAGAATCAGTGCAAAAGTGGTGGAATTGTTGTATTGGGGGAGCACTGATGGCCTAGCGGTTAGGCCGTGCCTCATGAATGAAGGCTAAAGTCCACCAAGAAGGGTTCAAGTCCAACCTGTGGCTCCTTTCATGTCATTCCCCACTCTCTCTCTCTCTCTCTCTCTCAAGTTTCTTGCTCTATCCACTTTTCTATCCAATGAAGGCATAAAAGCCAAAAAATTAATCTTAAAAAATAAAAACTGTTGCATAGGTGATCGTAATGTTACGGCTGATTGGTGTAAGTTTGGTGTTGGTCTCTTCATTGGATTTTGTGGAAAATAAAAAGCTATAGAATACTTCAGGCGAGAAAATGAATTCTGAATAACCTTTCTGGATCTTGTGATTTGCTTCACAGGCGCTTCAAGTCCTACGATCCCCTGAAGGAAGACATGATCGTGTCTGCCGTCCCGCAGCCCGGCCGGGCTCACAGCTGCTCCGGAGCCTCTGTGTTCTGGAACCTTCTGAACAGACGGGGAGCTGTCGATAACTGCCCCCTGCTGCAGGAGAGGCCGGTGTGAATCCTCACCGACGTAACACAAGCACAATATTTGCAACATAGTCAGCAAGCAAGCAAGCAACTGGCAACTTTTTGTACTTTTTTTTTTTTTTTTTTAAACATTTTTTCTACAACAAACTTCATGAGTGTGTAATATTTGAATCAATTCAAATCAATCAAAACAAATTCTGGAATCACTCCTTAGACATGCTCTGATCTTTTGTACCAACATTGAAAGAAATCAGGTAGGAAAAAAAATGTACTTTTACTTGGACAAAACTGAATCTGAATGTTTTTCCAATAAACTTTGCTCAGTACAGATGTGTCCTCTGTTTTTCTTTTTTACAGTAGAGCTGCTGACAGCACAGATACAGATGGTGCAGTTGAGACTTCCTGATATTTGACTCATTTATGTTATATAAAACCAAGAGATTGCAGATAGTAACTCGACTCTCTGATACTGACAGGCACGATATTCACTCATCTGTTAAATATACTCATAAGTCATGTTGATTTAGTTGAGTTATTTCGTTATGTATTGATTGGAAATAGCTTGACATCTTTTTTTTTTAAATACAAATGTATATGAATCAAGTTGAATTAAATCAGGGACCCATTTCTGGACATATTTTCTCAAAGCCTAAACATGAAATAAGCTTTTACCACATTTTCAATCCATATTTGACATTTTTAAAGTATTTTTTATTGTAACCTGCATAAATGAAGATTTAAATTCTTGGTAATATAGTCTACAATTTAACATTCATGGGATAGCTAAAGAATAAATCTGAATTTCAACATTTTCTAGGACTACTCACAGTAAAGATTTTGTATGGAATAATGAAAGAAGACAGTTCACAGGTGACAGGAATTTTATTTAGAACAGAGCCCAAATTGACATTTCCAGGTTTTTCTTCAGTCCAAACAGCCAAACTGGTGATTGACACACAAACATTTCTGTTTGGAATGTATTCAAGAACACATTGCAATCAATTATTTTCTGTTAAATTAATGCCTTCATGTTCTATTTAATACTCCTCTCCTTCCTCCTCTCCCTCGCCCTCGATGGAGTCAACACCCACCTCCTCATAATCCTTCTCCAGAGCGGCCATGTCCTCTCTGGCCTCAGAGAACTCTCCCTCCTCCATACCCTCACCTACATACCAGTGAACAAAGGCACGCTTAGCGTACATCAGATCAAACTTGTGGTCAAGACGAGCCCAGGCCTCTGCAATAGCAGTGGTGTTGCTCAGCATGCACACAGCCCTCTGCACCTTGGCCAGGTCACCACCAGGAACTACAGTGGGAGGCTGGTAGTTGATGCCAACCTTGAAACCAGTGGGGCACCAGTCCACAAACTGGATGGTGCGCTTGGTTTTGATGGTGGCGATGGCAGCGTTTACATCTTTGGGCACCACATCACCACGGAAGAGCAGGCAGCAGGCCATGTACTTGCCGTGGCGAGGGTCGCATTTGACCATCTGGTTGGCTGGCTCAAAACAAGCGTTGGTGATCTCAGACACTGAGAGCTGCTCATGGTACGCCTTCTCTGCAGAGATGACGGGGGCGTATGTGGCCAGAGGGAAGTGGATACGGGGATATGGCACCAAGTTGGTCTGGAACTCTGTCAGATCAACATTGAGGGCGCCATCGAAACGAAGGGAAGCTGTGATGGAGGACACGATCTGACTGATCAACCTGTTCAGGTTGGTGTAGGTGGGACGCTCGATATCGAGGTTTCTACGGCAGATATCGTAGATGGCCTCGTTGTCCACCATGAAGGCACAGTCAGAGTGCTCCAGGGTGGTGTGGGTGGTCAGGATGGAGTTGTAGGGCTCCACCACAGCGGTGGACACCTGGGGAGCTGGGTAGATGGAGAACTCCAGCTTGGACTTCTTGCCGTAGTCGACGGACAGACGCTCCATCAGCAGGGAGGTGAAACCAGAGCCGGTACCACCTCCGAAGCTGTGGAAGACCAGGAAGCCCTGAAGACCGGTGCACTGGTCAGCCTGAAGAGAGAGAGGGACAGACAGTCAGCACTTTTGTGATAGAGATATGTCTTTCAATTTAATATTTCTTATCTAAATTAGGAGTGAATACCTCCTGACATCAAGTTACCCACCAGCTTGCGGATCCTGTCCAGCACCAGGTCAATGATCTCTTTTCCGATAGTGTAGTGTCCACGGGCGTAGTTGTTGGCAGCATCCTCCTTACCAGTGATCAGCTGCTCAGGGTGGAACAGCTGGCGGTAGGTACCAGTGCGCACCTCATCTAAGGAGATAAAAACAAATATTTAATTCAAGGTGGTTGGAACATTCTCATATTTCAACATTATTTCCCCAAATGAATGTTAATCCAGTAGAGCTGACACTAACCGATGACAGTGGGCTCCAGGTCCACAAAAACAGCTCTGGGGACGTGCTTTCCAGCTCCAGTCTCACTGAAGAAGGTGTTGAAGGAATCATCTCCTCCTCCGAGAGTCTTGTCACTGGGCATCTGTCCGTCCGGCTGGATCCCATGCTCCAGGCAGTAAAGCTCCCAGCAGGCATTGCCGATCTGGACGCCAGCCTGACCAACGTGGATGGAGATACACTCACGCTGTGGGAAAAGAGAACCAAAATCAAGAGAGGTTAATTTCGACCTGTGTTCATTTTTGTCTAAATTCTACATGCATTTCTTTTCTGTTCCTGCACGTCTTTATTGCACACATGAATGCATCTAAAAATAGGGAACGTGCAGTTGCTCCCACTGTCTTGGATAAAGAAGCAGTGCAGCAGGAGGCACCTCCCTCCCTGCACCACAAACCCGCAGGGGGGGGGACAGAAATGCCTGACAGCAGCCCCCCCACCGAGGCAGGACGCTGTTCTTCTCTTTCCTCCAGTCTCTCTTTTTGTGTGTGTCCCCTTGTCTTTTCATCCCACTCTCTCCCTCTTTTGCAAGCCTAAGCACGAATGCAAATTCAGTTGCGCGTGCACATCGGCAGTCTGGAATATTCCACCTGCTCTCGTGCCAGCAGGAAGATGCACGATTACATTCATCTTACCAAAATAAAACGTCATTTTATAAGATTGAAATCCGCATATAATCCAAAATAAATCAGTAACGATGACAACAGATTCACTCAATAGTAATATATGCAATGCGATGTTTAAACAGAAGCTGCGTGATACACCGATGTTTACTTTAAACCTGAATAAATGCATTTGCTTCTTGATCTAATGAATTAAAAATGATATAGCTGTGCAGGCTTCATCCCCACCCAATCTGCCCTCCCCGCATTGAAACAAGGTAGGGCATAGTCAAGGTGTTCGATGTTTTTGACGTATTGACATTTAAAATATGCTAAAAAATAATAAAATTATGAGTAAACAGTTCCGCTGCTTTGTCGAGAATGACATAATGTATTCTCACGAAAGTCTTTCGGCTGAATTAAGCCAATCAGTGCATTGTTCTCATCTCTACACAATGACAATCACTTCGTGCCAATGCTGCAGAACAATCGGTGTCAACGACAAGATCAACGATTCACTTTCCCCCTAATCACAACCTTTTGATATTATCACACAAAGATACAGCTGTAATATGTTATAATTAATAATGATATTAAACATGTAGTGATGGAGGACCCTGGACGACGCCGGCTCATTCTTAACCTTCACTTTCACCTCGTTAAATCATCATACACATGAAGACGAGAGGAGTTCATTTAACTTACCATGCTTTTCGTTTGAGGTTCAAAGAGGGAGAGGAGAAAAATATGAAGAAAAAAGCTTTTAAAAAGCAGGGGGGTTTGCGTCGCGTGTTGTACCCAACGGGGTCGATGCAACAACTGCTGAATGAGAGGGCGGCGCTTTCAGATTTATACACGCAGGGCAGGCTTTGCTTCTGTGCGTTGGGGAGGAAAAAAAACTTTACTACCACCATTTGGCATTGCTGTTAAATCCTGTTTTTTTGCATTCAAATTTAAACAAATAAATATTGTGAAACATGCTCTCAAAATGCTCTGCAATAATATGAATATTACTGCACTATATGGCTTTTTGATAATGTAATCAATGTGATTATTGCATGTTCTATTTATAGCTTTGAGCCAATTAGCAACATATTTCAGATTTTTTTATTTTATGCAGTCATGTGAAGATTTCTGACGTCATAATCAAGCTGATGAACATAATTACTAAACCAGATTGACAATAAAATAAGACTGGTTGCATTGTAGGTATCTTTATCATTGATGTGATTAGGAATATGATTGTCCAAAACTGTTACTGTATGCATTAATTTGAAGCCTTTATAAAGTGGATGAATGGCAACTGCAAACAAAGCTAATTTATTATGCATGCAGAAGGATGATTCATCCATTATTCAGGTGTGGCAGACTGAAAAATCAATAAAAAGGTGCTCTAATTGCAAGCTTTACATACTGGTGAATACAAGTAAATTCTGTGTGAAAATCAATTCTTTTTTTTTGCAAGAGTTCAGTGCACCTGATGAATTATCGATGATGCAAAATGGCTGCATGCTTCTGCAGTACAGGATGCTTCCATCAGCTGGGAGTCCATGTTGCAGCTCAGACCTGCCATGATGGTATACGCCCGCCCGCCCGAGCATGCCAGCTCTCTCCAGCTCTCCTCCCTCTTTGTCCCAGATTCCCTGCAATGATGTCATTCAGTGGGCCGATCACGTGGCTGCATGTCTGCCTGTCACTGACTGCCTCTGCTGTTCAGCTGCACCGAGGGCTGGGGTGTGTTCCCTCTGCTTAGGTCTTGTTTGAGGAAGTGAAATTAACTGAATGACCAATTTTCACACAGTGGCCATTTTATTGTGTGATGTAACCCTCAAAATGGGAAGCAGTTTTATGTTTTAGTGCTGTGCTGCTTCAGGTTTTTTAAATCATTTACGCTGGGAACTTGACAAATCATTCTCATATCAGTGTTTTTAAATCGATAAGCAGCTAAAAAGATAATGGATGTACTGTACCTACTGTAAACATTGGATAGGCAGTTGCTAAATGATGTCCTACATTACCCACTAGGTTTTTAAATATGATGTTTTTAGCTTGAAATATGGCCCCTTTGATTTTCACTCATTGTCTTTTCAGTTACTGAAAAGCAGCAAAATTATAATATGGACCAAACTAGTACAACATTAAAACAGCATTTGAGGTTCCCACTCTGAGTGAGGACTACATCAGAGTCAGTGTGAAATGGCTGAATGTAGTTTATGTGATAAAATAAGTGCTCTTTGGCACTTGAACTGGATGAGGGCCTTAATTCCCAACATTAAATCCCGGCCCTTGGACATGTTTAAAATCCTGCAGGGATTGACAGAAATAATGAAGAGGTTCCCAAAGTATCTCAACTGTCAGACTTGAAAAATCCTCAATTTAGTATGAACCTAAAAGTTCCCCTTTTGTCACAAAACCAACCGCTTTGTGTAAGTTAGTGTCATTTATCCCGCACTGAAGTCCGGATGCATGATTTACGAGCAGCTTTTTGTGGTTGTTGTACTTAATGTGAACTGCAGGGGATGAAAGAGGACGACAGGAAGCAGCCAGGGATTCCAGCCAGGGCTTCTTCAGAGAAAATTCTCCAAAACCCTGCTCCCCCTCCTTCCCCTCCTTCCCCTGTTTCTCCTCCTCCAGCAGCTGTGAGACAGACGGGCTGTGAGCAGCTGCACACCAAGAGGAGAGAGGGAGGGAGGCTGGGAATGCTAGAGAGATGGGAGTGGTCCTCAATGGCATGAAACTGACACACTGCATCCTGAAAAGAGAGAATATGAGACCCAACAAAGTGATAAAGCATGTTTTCCATCTGCCACCGGGGAGTCCCTATGTTGTCAGATAAAAGAACAAGAGTTTGCTGCCTTGAGCTAAAACACAAATAAGATGTTGATGTAATTATATGTTCTGGGCTGGTGAAGTAACAAGCTAATGTGGGACACATGTTAAAGACAGTTGAGTCAAAAGGAAATGACCAGATAATAATGAAAAAAAGTTTTTGCTAAACACTTTCAGTGCAGCTCTTATTGCTGTCTTCATGTTTTGATGGTGCATGTTAATGCAAACTCAAATGTACAGATGAAGATCATGGGAACATTACAATTAAATAATATATCTACATGTGACAAGATTGGTAAGTGTGGTGTCCTGTTTGCTTTGCATAGTGGTAGACGGAACAGAAGAGAACGATAGAGGGCGAGGAGCTGAACGTGTGCAAACAGGAAAAGGAAAAATAGCACATTATCAACCAACAGAATCAAGGATGAAAGTGGCTGCTGACTGAGTCATCAGGGGAGACAAAACAGGAACACACATAAAAGCTCAGAAATACATTTATATTGTTCAGTACTTTCATTCTTACACAATAATATATGGCTCTTTAAAAATATGTAATGACTGTTTCATATAATTGTGTGATCAACTGCCCAAGTGGGTGAGATTACAGACTTAGAGGCATCAGACATCAGATCAGAAGAATAATAAAAAAGACACTGAGGGCATTCATTATTATAAGAAATGTCTAGATCGTTTCATGGTACCCAAAATTATTGTCCAAAAATAACTGATTGCATTTTCTGCAAGTAACAAACTGAATCAGTATCTATAAAGAGTATCTGGCTGTTTTTAAGCAGCCCAACATTCAATAAAGCTTCATTCCTGTCGTTGTCACAGTGTTTCCTCTTGTTGTTAGCAACCAAGCTGCTTAACTGTCTGCATTCCCCGGGCTATTCTTTAGGATGGCTATAGAATAATTTATAGCCTCTGTTACTGAACTTTAAAGTTTGAGACACAAACAAAGCTGCTGCTGCACACACACCAGTTACATTACTGTCTGAATGCTTTTAGAGCTGACCCACAATGATGGATCTCGGCTGCCGCAGAGCCACACCCCATCATCCTTATTATATTGTGTTTTTCTTTCAGTCATCAGTTCATGCATTTGAAGGTGAGAGCAAGTGTTTTCCATGTAGGCCTTAAGGGCATCATGGGGGAAGATTTTGGAAAAGAGGAGGCTGAGGAGCCCCCCCCCCACACACACACACAGAGACAGCTGTCCTGCAGCTCCCTGTTAATGCTGCCATTTAAGCTAGGTCATGTGACCACCAGATAAAGGCGGTCTATGTGGATACTAGGCTGTATCCAGGCAACTCCGTTTTTCATTTCCTAGCAACGGTTAAACCTTGGGAGGAGAGCTGGGGGTTGGGTGTCTGCGGCTCTCCGCGGCCTACATGCCCCTCAGATATGACTGGTGGGCACTGTGGGCACATTGACCTCTTTTATCTTCACTGGACTCAAAATGAAATCATGATACAGACTTTTCAATAAACTACTACCAGTGTCCATCGATGAACAGATATTTATAAAAAATATGAAATAAGATGCACTGCATGGTGTAGCCTATAGGCTGTGACAGATGAACAATTTTGAAGAGGAAAAATGTTCAGCACAAGATCATAAATTATCTTTAAAAAATGTCGATCTGTAAATATGGTATAAACTATTTTCGACTTCTTGTATAAACCGCTGAGAAATTATTGCTTGATTTTGTCTTCAGGCAGTTTAAAATGACAGGTAGGGTACTCGTGTGTTTGTTATTGAGGTAAATAATTGCCATTTTTCATGCAAAGATTTAAAAGGAAGATAAGCTGAGTGACCGCCTGATTGAATTTCTACTAACAGATGCTCAGTCATCAAAGTATGCATGCGGCCTGACCCAAAAAAAATGTTATTTTAGTTGAGATTGTGCATTTAACTGCAATGGACTGTATTCTGTTATATTCTCACCAGTTCTGTCTTATTACAGTAAATTCTTCAAATAATTCTGGTTATATTTAGCAGGTTTATCTACATTTTTTTTTTTTTTTACAGTGGATGGTTATGCAAAGGGGGGGGGGGTGACTTGGTCTGTCGTGTCTGGTACCAGCATGCTAGAAATTACGCAGCACTTTCCTCTGATGAGTGACGCCATGCTTGCAGCACAGTACCGGAGGATGTCGGGATTTTGGGTGGGGTCTTGAAGGCGGGGATTGTAACAACTGAGCCACTTTGTCCAATAGAAAGCAGCGAGCGTCAGATTGACAAGGAGTTTGACCAACAGCGTCTCGGCTGCCACTGTCTCCCGTTCTGCACTTGCATATAAACCACTATCCATCCTCCAGAGTGCCATTGTGTCTTACATCGACCCCATAACTGTCGACTTGTAAGACCCCCCCCTGTTAAGGAGCTCCTGCAACCCTCAACCGCGTCCATAAAATAACAAAATGGTAAGGCATTTTAAATGTTCTTGGTAAACAGCCATAGTTGAGATTATGTCAGTGTTCATCTGCTTTTTTTAAGGATGAGATTTATGGGGATGAGTAGGGGATGAGGTAACGTTGCAGAGCCGGATTGGGAGGTTGAAGGATTATAAAGTTATTGTAACGGTCTTAAATTAGTAAATTGTATATTCCTTTGACGTTATAAACTTGATTTGATGAGAGGGGGAGTTCTTGCAATAATAATGTGTTGGAATATTTCTTTATAAAAATGGTAAATTGGCTCCCTCATGCGGGAACAATAACATGGAAACTCTTGGAGTAGATTTTGGTACCCGGCTGGCTGGCTTGACAGACCTGACGTCATATTTAATAGTAATAAGGAGGACCAGAGGAAATGTTGGCTTGATGCTCATAGTAATAATAAATAAAATGATAACATTTAACACATATTATTATTTTTTTTTAGCGTGACAGTGGCTGCCTGGTAACTTAAAGCTGATTCAATTTAGAGACAGGGAGGATGGAGAGCAGCACTTTGTCCCACACCCACAGAAACCCTATCCGCCCGTGGAGTGGATTAACTGCACTGT